TGAAGATGTGTTTCGCCAGCACAGTGCCATGTAGAGGGACATTCCTACACCTGATACAGGTGTTTCGCCAGCACAGTGCCATGTAGAGGCACATTCCTACACCATATATTTTGAATAACTTAATGCCAAGTCTACTGTGCAGCAGGAACTAGTATCTGGCACCACAGAGAGAGTTACAAGTCTTCTGTTCTAAGTACCGTGTTTCCCCAAAAATAAGACAGTGTCTTATACAGTATTTTTGCTCCAAAAATGTATTTCAGGGGATGTTTTATTTTTTCATGTACAACAATCTACATTTATTCAAATACAGTCATGTCATCTTCTTCTGGTTGCTGTACAATGGTGGAGGACAAGGTTTCACATAACTGGGGCTTATTTTGGGGTAGGGCTTACACAGTATTACGAGCATCCTGAAAAATCATACTAGGACTTATTTTCAGGTTAGGTCTTATTTTCAGGGAAATAGGGTATTGGTTTCAGCCTATGCCAGCACTGAAAACACAGAGGAGGCCAACTCTATTCTTAACATCAAGCATAGCCTTAAATGAGTAGTGCTCATTTGGACCAGCCCCTCAGTGAGGAGTGATATCAAGACCCCGGATGTTAGAGTGCGAAGTTATCGCCTTTTGCCTGAGTTAAGTTTGATGGACCCTTTTGAACCCGTTGAGTTTGTTCAGTAATAAATCAAGTCGTGTTAATTATAAGGAACAGCCTCCGACTCTTCTTCCCGCGCCAACACAGGGGTCGCACACGGTAGACAACGAACCTAATCACAGAGCTATCATCAGGCTTTATCAACCATGATTTAGCATTAATTTTGAACCAGCTAATGGTGTACTTTTTAATCTCGTATTGTTCTGATGTCCCTGCCTTCCATATAAATACTGGGTTGAACACAGATGAATTCTAGTTTGTGTAAATTATGGCATGTCATTATAGCTGACACAGAACCATTGTACAATATGTTTTTCCAGCTGTCTACCCTGAAATGAAAGCAACAAAGTGGGTTGGATGAGAAGCAAAATATGGGGGGAACAAGCTAAGATCTCTTTAGTGGTTTGATGAACAATTTATGGCTAAAGCAACAAATCACAGCAAACTACAGCTTAGCAAAATATACTATAAATACAACAAATCACAGCAAACTACAGCTTAGCAGAATATACTAAAATTAAATAAATAAATAAATCGTCTTAAAACTGTAGAGCTGGATCATTGAGTCCAGTCAATGTGAAGGAGGCATAGTGGGGTTCACAACCAGATACCTATCCAGCAGTTCCTAGACAACATGACAATGACATGGCAATACTCTTTTTACGTACTTGGAAGAAAGTAACTAACCTGCTTGTTCATAGTGAATACCATTAACATTTGACCATGCAGAAATGAGAAAGATGTCTAGATTTTTTTAAAAGTGGGGGTATGATCCATTATATATCATACACTGCTCTGCCCCTTATTTAGGAAAGTCATTTCCTCTTTTAAGGAGTAGTGTACAGTATATTGCCCTACTGTGGGTCATACATGCCTCCTCTGCCATGCAGATATCCTTCCTGTATTTGTTCTGGAACAAACTATGGTTAGCATCACCTCATTACCGAAAGTAATGCTGACTACCTGGCAATAAAGCAGTTACTTTTAAGCGTGGTACAAAGCTTCCATTTGTTGTGTACTGGCCAGAGTTGGATCCAAAACTAATATGAAAACACATGAAAGCTGATATGGAGAAAATTTCGGTAACTGGGAAGAACTACATGTATACTAGATCAAAGTTTGAGAGATCAATCTTCTGTACATACCACCTACTTCCAATATAACTGATTTGATTTTTAAAAATGATTTATTTTTATTCACCCTGATATTTGGTCACCAACAGTTCTCAGTAAGGAATTAGTAACAATTGACCTGTTATAAGTCTGTCAAATAATGAGATTAAGATCTAGACCAGAGGTCTCCAACTTTTCAGTATAAGGGCCATGTCATATATTTCACACATTTTCGAGGGCTGAAGGGGGGGAAATTTTCTAATGAATGAATGACGGGTTCCCCCACAAGGTTGTACACCAGACTCACCACCTTCCCAGGCCCAGTCTGAAGCAGAAGAACTGGTGGAGCAGCAGCAAAACAGACATCCTCTCCATGTCAACTACACTCCTCTTCCTATGCCCACTTGGAGGGAAGGGGGACCCAAGCAACCCCCCCCCGCTGTCTTTGCAAAGACAGCGGGGGGGTGAGGGATCACTTAGATCAGGCTTTGCTCCTCTTCCTATCCCCACACACACATAGGAAGAGGAGGGAAGGGAGAGCCAAGCAATATATGGGTTACAAATTCTGACACATGCCTCAGAATTTCATAAATTATGACACACGCTTCTTTATACACAAGTATTTTGGTTTTAAAATATTTATTTATTTATTCATCAGGCTTTGCTCCTCTTCCTATCCCCACACACACATAGGAAGAGGAGGGAAGGGAGAGCCAAGCAATATATGGGTTACAAATTCTGACACATGCCTCAGAATTTCATAAATTATGACACACGCTTCTTTATACACAAGTATTTTGGTTTTAAAATATTTATTTATTTATTCATTATCACGCCCTTCTAGACATATGTCTACTCAGGGCAGCTCACATTATTCATAAAAACAATTAAACAACAACTTACATTGACAATATTAATATTAATCAAGATGGAGAATATGAAACAAAAGATTAAGTGAAAAGTAAAAGTCAAGTATTGACAGTAGGAAAGGCCTGCCTAAAGAGCCAAGTCTTTAATTGGCTCTTAAAAAGACTCAGCGAGGCTGCCAGGCAGATCTCTGACAGCAAGCTGTTCCAAAGTTGAGGGGCCACTGCTGAGAAGGCCCAGTTTCTTGTTCTTTCCTTCCGGGCCTCTCTCAGTGTTAGGCCCCTCAGCTGTCTTTCCTGGCTATAGCGAGTGATCCGAGTAGATCTAGGTGTGTGTAGATGTGTAAAGTCTATATATGCTTACTTATAGATATTTCCTATTTAAATACAAAGAGGATTAAATTCATAGCGTTTGTAAAAGTCAATAGGAAAGAACCCATGCAGGAAAGGAGATGCACAGTGTGGCCAAACAGTTCTTGCTTTTGGTACACCAAACCCCTGGCCAGGATCCTAGAATATACAATTACCAGAAAATATTTGATTTGCAGTGTAGGTGAACGTGGACATCTACACTTTTCTCTAGTGTCTGAAAAATGCATGTGGATAATTTAAGTATTGACAGATGGAATGGTGAAATTCTGAAGTTTTTGCAGAGAGGTTCTGAAGAAATACAATCTAATACAGTAACCCTAACATGCCCCGAACTGCTAAATCCTATCCTAGG